AAATATGAATGCTAAAGTTTTTTACTGTTTCCTTTTAATTTTCCTCAGTCCGTACTGCTCTTCTTTAATTTTTTCCTCCCTCAATAAGTGTAATGATAACATTGGTGGCCAAAATTCATCATAAAGAAAAAAATCCTTCTTTTAAAATTTGCGTCTCCTAACCTTCCTTTCCACAAAATTATTTATCAATACTTGGACGTCCATTTTCTCAGCCATCTCAGTTTCAACGCTCAATAGTGAAAGGTTTGACAACCGATCTTGTGTCATACTGTTTCTTAAATATGTTTTTATTCGTTTCAGTATTGAAAAAGACCTCTCACTCGTGGCTGTGGCTACAGATAATGATAAATACAATATAAGTGAATTGCATACTCCCGAATAACTGCTTGTGATGTCATAATATTTTACCATTGCTAATTTAGCTAAATCTTTAACGGATTTCAAATTTTGGATTTCTTTTGAAAGTATTTTAAATAACAAAAGTTGTACTTGCAGTGCATTAGCAAAGTCTTCTTTATTTTTGAAATATATTAATAATTTCCGTATTTGTTAACAATGAGTGTTTTAGGTTCTTTATTTTTTAAAATTTAGTTTCTATGCCCCATTTATTTGCAATAAATTCAGCTTCTTTCATATGTCTTCAAACTTGCGTATATCTTATATTAATAGAAACGCTTTTTAGATGTTGGTGAGCTCCATTCAAGTCGATTGATTTTCGATTGTCGAGCCGATTGATTGGTTGATCGATCCTGCACTACAGCGCAGGACGTGTTTAAAAAATTTTGTTTTAAATTTTGGCCTGTTATGATGTTTCTTAATGAAGAGAAGCATAGATTATATTTATATTTCATATTTATCATAAACTTTATAATGAAGAATTATATTTGAGATCACTTTGAAATTTAATTTTAAAGAAAAACTTCTCTTTGTTCTCGCCATAGACTAGAGAAATGGCATTAGAATAAGAGCAAGTTTAAGTTCAGTGTACTGTTCCAATTTACAAGTATACTTGAGGGGTAGCGTTTCACACTTCAATGCAGCTGTTTAACGAAGAAAGGGACCCCGCCTCCACTATAAATTTCCAGTGTCTTCCCAAGTTGAGTCGCAGTAAAACTTTCATCCGAGACTTTACTGTAAAGATGTCCATTTCCCTTTTAAAACGCTGAAACATCTGTTTTTTTTTTTTTTTTTTTTTTTTTTTTTTTTTTTTTTTTTCCCTTCAGTCAAATTGCACTATTATAATTGTCATATTCCAATGATACATGAATGGACCCAGAAATGTTTAATAATTTACAGTTAAGCTTATTGACACTAATGTATATTTGAAGATGCGTACTCACACACTGTCGCATGGGTTCTAAAAGTAGTACACATAAATACTCGTTTAGGAAACAAGTATAAAGTTTCTTAACAATTAGTAAAAATAAAATTGTATGAAACAAGTTTTGCGTACTTCGTAGAGAAATGCGCAAACCTTCATGTAAAAAAAATAGTTTTGTTGTACCCCTGGTGATCAGTTAGGAAAGCAGATATATTTTAGGAGCATTAATATTTATGATTATTGTTACCTGTTTTATTTGCGTCTTAGAAAATTATTTATGTCTCAGAAATTAATGACTTCAGCTTTCTAGTCTTTACATTGCTTATAAATTAAGCAGTATCAATTTTTTTATCTTAATCATTAATTTATTAATGACAAAATATAAAAAATAAATATAATGTATGGGAACATATATTAACGGAAGCTATTTATGTCTTAGAAAAGTTATGCAGTGATGCCGAAATGAAAGAGAATAATGTACAAAGGGATTTTATGAGTGAAAAACTTACTATTAGAACGTGTTAATTAATTTTTTTAATTTGCAAAAATTATTGAAATATTGCAATAACGGGGGAGCATTCTTTTCTTAAATATTCCATTCGTTTGTGTAGTGAAAATAGCAATGTAATTCGCGTTCTTTCAGATGCTGAAATGCAACTTAAAACTATTAGGGCAACTCTGCCATTGATATGTTTAATATTTTCAGTAATTAATTTATCAAAAATTACGAAGTAGTATATACTTATAGTTGTGTGATGCCATTTTTATTATCATTATTATACTAATATTGATGATTTCACGTACTGAATGCTGTGGAAAGTAAATTAAAAGCAAAAGTAAGTAAATTGTAAAATTTAATTTCAAATAAAGATTAGAAAGTACTCCATGAAGGCGTTCTTCCCCTTAGGCAAATAGTCCTCGAGTGCTTTATTATTATATAATAATTCAATGCCGTTTAAATAACGTACAAATTATTGCCCATTACTTAATTATACGCTTAAATGTTTCACGTTGTTAAAATAAATTGTAATTTATTATATTTTTTTTCAAACGAAGAGAGATTAATGTCTTACTTTCAAAACAAATTTAATGTCTTCAGAATTATCTTTTACAGATAAGTGTGAATTTTTGGTAGATGGGTAATTTACAGGTTAAGAAACACTACAGCTCTTCTCTTTTCTAAAGCAAATCAAGTAAATCCGCAAACGAGATCTGTGCTTTCAGATTTAATTCTTGATTAGGGATTTTAAAGAATTCCTAACCTGCATTTTACCTGCAATGTGAGAATATTTTGAAAATTTTGATATGAAAGATTGGATAAATATTTATTATCCAATCATGTCAACGCGACGCATGCGCAGAAAGTTTGTAGCTTTGAGGTCCGAATTATAGATTATTCCGGATTATGGGTGTCCGAATTAACGACTTTTGACTGTATATGAACACAATTAAACGCTACCGGAATGACATATTATGAAAATTACGAACTGCAAATAATATATCACGATTTATCTTAAGTTGCAAAGTTCATTCCAAACTACCAGAATCCTGCCTAGTTACTTCTTTGATTTATACTTAGAAAATATGTATACTGATTATTCGATCATAATGCGAATTATGCAGAAAAAATTAATATATAAAATAAGTAGTTACAATTAATTTCGACTTCCGCCACTTTTTGATTTGGGACTGCAAAAGCAGAAACCTTTCCTTTAGGGGGTCGCCTTTTAATTTTCAGGTTTGAGACTAAGGAATACAAAGGAACTTTTCCTATTTTCAGTTCACTGCTATCCCTAAACTGGGGTTGGTCATGAACATATTATTTCATAGCCGAATGCTGGAATTTTAACTTTTTGCAAACACTTGAATTTAGCTGTTTCAGGTGCTTCCAAGGGCCTCCTATCTGCGTCATACAGAGAATTGCGTCACTGCACCATATAGGTAGAGGGGGCCCTTAATAACTTAAAAGAAAAAGAATAGATATACTTAAAGATTTTAAAGTTAAAAGTAAATTGGATTCAAAGCAAGGCTATTCCTCAACTATATTAATATTAACAATCGTGTAAAAGGGGTTTAATACAAAATCAACATATCAAAATTAAAATAAGAATTTATAGTAGTACAAATTCTAAAAATAAAAATGAAAAGCAAAAGAGAAAAAATACAAGATAAGAAATATAAAAATAATAATTAATCTTCTTTTATTGAAATTCTAATTTCGAACTCATCAAGGGAAAATGAATTAAATCTTCTATATATATGTAATGGAATCGTCTTTTAAGTTTAAACATGTAAATGCAGTTCAGCAGGACATTTAAGGGCCCTCTAAGCCTTCGGGCACCTATGCGACGGCATTCCTTGCATACCCTTATTTACGCCACTGGCTTCCTGCATATCTGAAAATTCTTCGCCGGCAATTGTTTTCGTATTTTATACGATTTCTTTTCCTTCATATTCGGTCAATGGAAATCCTTTAAAACTGTTGATAACTTTTGGCTAGAGCTGATGCCAGTAAGCATTCAGTGTCAGTGAATGAAGGTTAAACCGAGTATGAATGAAACTCTAGCTTTGGACGAATAAAATAGAAACAATTTACGTAACGCGTGTATGCAAAATCGTATTCTGAAAATCCCTGTTCGGCAAGGGGTTACTTTACGGTAAGGAGTTTATGAATTATGAGAAAAATAGAGGGTAGAAACACTCTAACAAATTGGCCACTTTGAAAATGCATATGAAGAGCATCTCATTGGTAAAATATGCTTACAAAATTCGCTTCTTTAATAAATGTAGTCAAACGTTAGCCTCGAATCATGCAGAATCTTGGTTAATCCTGGTTCCACGGCACTAACTTGAATGACATTTTGAAGAATGTGTGATTGATACGACGTGATTACAGCTGATTAGTAAAATTCTACATTTTTTTTTCAGGCGCTAGGCTATTGATTTGAAATAAAACAGGTCATTCATTGATTTTTTGGAGCAGTTTCTAGTTGAAAGGGGCTATGAATAACCAAAGCGCCTCAGAAGTTGTCTTTTCCCGCGGGGTGCTGTTTATAGATACGAGAGCATTCAAATATGACATGGAGGAACGAACATTAAGTAAACCGAGTACGGTTTTTCGCGATATGGTGTATATACATTGATTTATCTCTGCATACAAATTATATTTTTATTTTATTTTTTGATGTTGCTTCGGAGGGCCGAAACCTTTAAGGAAACATGCATTTTCCAAATGTCGCTCTGGTGAAAGTTCATCTTGTGCAATTATTAATAACCTTTAATATCCCTTGAGAGGCAATATTCAAGTGATATGCTAGACTATCACTCTATCAGACATCCATTTGTTTTATATGTAGCATCACTCATATAATGTAGTACATCTGTTTCTGCGAAGTATGATCATACGTGATTTAGAACTCGTCAATCGAGTATAATACTAGCCTATCTTGGGTGTATCTGTTCTATCTTGGGTGAACTAGACTGGGAATCTTTGGAATAAATCGGTTATAAAGTATTATTATTAATGATACTTAAAGCGTGGAAAAAAAAAAAAAAGCTAATATCTTCTGAAAACTTTTGCTTGAACTTTTATTCTGTTCAAAATACGCTCTTTACTATAAAACAAAGACAAGTAATTATAATAAAATTGGTATTAGAAAAAAACATGCGTGTGACATACCTGCCGCGCCGCATCGTCTTCCATGGAAGAAGGTGCCGACATCTCTATCTCGTCTAAGAGCGAGGAATTACCATTTGGACTCCTTCTCAACAGCAGATCTAACTTCGCTTGAAGTTGGACGTTGGTTTGCCTTAGATCATCTAGATCCTGTTGCTGACTTCGAATCTAAGGCGGAAGAGAAAAGAAGACAATCATTTATTATATTCATTAATATTTAACACTGTGGTTTCTGCATTTAAAGATACTAGATACAGAACTAAAATATTAAAAGTAAATTTATGGAATAGTCTACTTTCTTGTCTAGTGGTTGCATTAGGAAAATATTGAATTCCAATTTCTTGCTAGTTACTTAGTGGTCGAAATAAATCTTTTTTTTCCCTCCCTAATCGAACTACTGCCAGATGATATGAAGTTGATCTTATAGAATTACCAAGTTAGCTTTACATAAATATAATGAGAAAATAATCCGTGGTTTTGTTCGGGCATCGAACAAAATTTGAAAAAATGGATATTCAAAAGAAATCTTGAGTTCGATTAATCACCACATATGCCTTTAGATTTAAAAAAAAAAGCGGCTTGAGCATCTAACTATTTTGCCTCGTTTCTTGCTGCAATCCTGTTATAGCAGATTTATTGTTAACTTCTAGGACCTGATTCTTACTTTATTCTTGAAAACTTGTGGTTATTTGACTTCGAATCTTTAATTTTGTACAAAATACAAAAGCTTGTTTTTGTGTTATATATACGTATAACTCAAAATATGATTTGATTACTGAAACCAAGCATTTTCCATCCAACTATTTTTTCAATTTATTGAAGAAACTTAACGTAACACATAAAAGTAAACAAAACAGTATTTCAGGTGGCATAGGACATCTTACTAGTACAATCTCTCATTTCCTCAGACTCATAATATCATCACACGGCTTCTCTTGGACCTAATCTACTCATCAATTGAGGAATAGGTCTATGATTTGTAGAGTTCTCGTAAAATAGGCTTGCCATCTCTGGGAAAAACAAGAATCTTATAGGATCCAAACGAATCCTGTAAACTTGACATCAACTGTTGAATCGACACGACTCCTGGACTCGAACTCTTTTCTCTGGTAGAATCTATGAGACTACTGGACTTGATCGGATCTGGCTTCTAGGGAGAAAACAGACTCTCTGGCGGTACTGATAGCCCACCTAATCTGCTTGGAGTAGTTCAACTCGAATCCGTACTGCGCTGTTACAGCTAAAATATTCGGCTCTTATAGGTGGTGCATTATTTTGTCCTGTGCATTCTTCACCCAAGTAACGATTTCGTGTAGCTTAGGCTTCGCAAAATTTCCTCTTCGATTTCTCTCCATTATACTTTTTAATCTATTCATGCGCAAATGGTCTTTAAATGGCTCTTTTTGTTTAATGTCGAGAGTTTGGAGATACGCAGATATTCCTGAGTGAATCATTATTTGACCAATTATTCTTTCTACAAGGATTTTTGTCTTCTTTCTACATGGTTTTAGTGCAATGAGTTCTGGCAGAATCTCGTTGTAGCATATCTCTTTAGCCACCTTAGTTTCGGTTTGTTTTATGGGATTACGTCAAAGCCTCGAGGGCTATCTGTCTAAGGGGAAAAATCCCTTCGTAGAGGACTTTCTAAAGAAAATTGGCTCGTATACACGTTACACATGGGGAAAACCACGAAAATCCCTATGCAGCCAGCTCGTTCGTTGGCCACCTTGTAAAACAAGTGATAGAAATAAATCGATTCACCTTCTTATTGCCTCTTTTTTTGTGTGTACTCAGTCTTTTTCAGTCTCAAGAACATAAACATATGAAACACATTCTAGTTCTTCTTTCTTTCCCTTACAGAATGTTAGGGGCGTTTCTTTTCATCGAAACGAACTGACAAAATACATGTAAAGCGGGCATTTTCGTAAGCAGTGCAGATCGCAGAGCCCGCACCCCCTCTGATTCAATGGTAGTTTGGGACCCTTGATTCATAAACACTGCAGTTTTATCCATAGCAATCATGTTCGAGAATCATTAGAGGAGTGTATGCCATCAAAGAAACATTTGAATGCAAATGTATATTTAATTACTTCAGTATCTTCCAATTTGAACAGTGTTTTGGGATTTTCTTAGGGACAGTTCATGATGCAGAGGGAAGCCATAACCAGTCTAGTGATGTTTTGAATTCGTTTGGCGATAGTATAGCTGTGGTGCCATTGTATGGGCAAATGCTTGAATATGAGCCCGGTAAAGTACCAAACACTTTACTCTTCTGTCAGCTATCCATTCACAGGCTATGTGTTCTATTTCAGGAAATAATGGTTTCAAACTTATTCACACTTACGCTTACCATTTTCCTCGTCGACCTGTTGACTGAGCTTATTATACTCTGATCCGCATTTTCTTACCATTTTTAGACCCAACTTCTTCTCTTTACAGAAAGCTGTAAGATTTTTACCCCTGGAGTCTTCCACAATTCCTTTCTTACACTAGATGGAATAGCTCTTTCTTTTTGCATTTATTTTATCTGAACATCAGAATTTATTATCCTTTACAATTATTATTAAATCAATTGCTAACCAATCGTTGCTAATCCGACGCATTGAATACTGAAGTTTCTAATTCTTTTACAGATAAATCAGTTTGTTTCAAATACGCATCTGGCACTTAATTATTTGGCAATAAGGCGCCCGTCGGGCTGACGATCTTAAATAGGGCTTTTATTACCCCGAAAAATCTTGCTAGGGCTTATTTTTTGATGAGGTCTTATTTTCGGGGAAACACGGTACACAAACTAAAATTTCTGTAACTGTATAAATATTATTGAAGCAAAATACGATAACCCAAAGTATAAAATTCTTCCACTTGTATTATAGAGCGCACAATAGTAATTTTACTGTACTTTTGACATAGGAGGGAGATTTGCGAGCTATCCTTACCAGTCCAGCAGCCTTGAGTCGATTCTCCATTTCCAGGTTTGTACTGGTGCCAAACATGCTTCCTTTTAAGGCACACATAAATCTTGGTAGCCACAAGTTTTTCGAAACTAATCTGCGCCCGAGAGATTTTTCGATGTCAGCTATTCATACGAGATGAGCAGATGCACATTTTTATACTTCCTAATAGTCAAATCGGCTCTCTGCTCATGCGGATGTTTGGATATTTCACACTTTACAAACTTTTCACTACCTGTTGACTTTATTTTTCCAGTCTCAGAGTTTGACTATTAACCAACTAGTAACTGTGAAGTATTACGTTACCATTATGACTGTTAACTATTATAATGATCTATGTTAGCCTATGGACTATAGACTCTCTATGATGACCATAATCGGTATATGACGGATAACTAAGAATAAACTATTGATGTATTATCGACAATAAATAAATGATGGACTACAGATTAAGAATTACTGACTATTACTGGAGCAATGAATATCAATGAACTATTGGAAAACTTTATTTTATTAGATTGTTCTAATGGACAACTTCCTAATTCTATGATAGACCATGATTAATTTCATTCAATGGATTACTGCCTAATTCTGTGAAATACCGCCTATATATAAACTATTAATTCATTATATTATTGTATTAGTTGACTCTGCAATTGATTATTATAATGATTAACCAATGACGATAGGCGATCTATAAATGACTATTGATTATAGGCAGTAATCATAGACTATAGACGGCCTATGATGACCATGGACGGATTATAACGAATCATTCACTAAAAATGACTGATGGACTATATTAATGAATTATAATTAACTATGAACTATTGACTATTATTGAACTAATGAACATTGATGGACTATTGAAAAATCCTATTCTATTGGACTACTGACTAATTCTTTAATAGACCACGACTAATCCCATTCATTCAGTTACTGATTAATTCTATGATTTATAGGTTATATACAAACCATTAATGAAATACTGATGTAAATAGTTATAGACTATTGAATATATTGTAATCTATAAATATTTGTATACAGTGATTCTATAAACATTTTGAATTGATTAATAAATACTGTTAAATTGGCATGCCAATTTTGTATGGATATTTTATATATCGGGATGGATGCCAACTCAGTGGTTTACAGTTTACAGTCTCAACGTACAAATTTACTTTGGTATATTCACCCAAACAAACACACTAACAAAACGTATAATCATTCTTTTTACATCTTGTACAAATTCGTGCGTTTTCAATCAGCTGAGAAATGCACATTCCCTAAACACTTGCAACTGAGATTTATGCCATTTATCCTATTATTCCATTATTATTTATTTTCATTACCGAAAATTATTTATCCTTACCTTCTGCTCTTGCTCTTTGTTTTGCCTTTGAAGAAAAATAATTCTATCACCGGATTCTTCTAAGGATAAATTTAAGTTCTCTCTTTCGTCCGTGAGTGCGTGTATTCTTTGGCCAAGATCTGCTTTTCGTCCTTCGAGCAAGTTAATCTAGAACGATACGTACAACATCTCACAAATCTAGGAGAAGATTTTTTTCAACAATGAAAAGAATAAATTTGCATCATATATTTGATAATAACCTACCTCTTCTCGCAGTCCTTCCAGTTGAGATACATGGTCGTGGAGGTTAGATCTTCGAACGTTGAACTGTTCCCTGAGTGTCTGCAGTTGAGCTTGAAGTTGTTCTTCCGCTCGAGCAGCCTATGCAGGGAAAATAAATTTATTACATAAAGTATCATGAAGTACAAAATGGTTAGCAACACCAGGTATCTGCACTTCTAGATTTATCGGCACTTTTCGACCAGAGGTTAAATTTCGTCGGAGCTCACCAGAGCACAGCTTTGGTAGTTTTAATTCTTGAGTTAAATCTTACCTCTAGCTGAAGTGCTCCGGAGCCTTAAATAAAAGGGCTTCTGTATTTCTTTTATATATCTAAAACAAAATTCTAGCAGAAATTCTTTTTGTCCCCAAAATTTTATTTTAATAATAAAATTAAATAAAAAAACGATTCTAACTTCTAAGTGCATACCTCTCTTTCCTTGGGAAGCAAACCTTTGGACGTGTTTGCCAGGAACATGTTTCTTGGACGGAAGTTGAGGATTTGTGGAAAGAAAAGATCTCACTCACATGTCAAAAGCTGATTCTCTACAAAGTGCAATGAATTTATGACAATGGGTAAATGTTTCGTTACAACAACCGATGTAACCAAATAAGGGGGACGAAAATCGTCACTTGCTGCTTTGGTCGCAGCTAACCCTTGAATTCGGGGCAAATGTTTTCCCTGTCATCTGTTTGACAACTAGAATGATATAGGTGGGATATCCTGAACAGAAAGTGTTGGATTTTTCTCCCTTTGTTTTCCTACCTACACATCCTCTGTTAAAATTTTCTCTATACTCTGTTACTGTTTCTAGCATTCTCGCTATTCTCATGAGTGACGCTATAATTGTTTTAATATATTTCACATTGATCAGTTAAGCCAAAGAATTTAAATCGGTTCTTAAGAGTTTATTCAATTTCTCTTATTGAACTGTCAGACAGCACTCTGTTCAAAGTCGATACTATTTTGAAATTTTGAAATTTTTATTACTCAGAAAAAGTGTAAGCAATGAATAGATTCTTATGAGCTAGACGCTGTAAAGATTACTCTTTCTTTTAGAAATTGAAATATTTTATCTTTATAGGTTTGCCTGTATCCTGCAAAATGGTGAAACAGAAACACAACAAAAAAGAAATTTTGTAATTGTACTTACTTATAATTGTAATTGAATTTTAATATGATTCTTTAATTAGAGTTATTTTTAATTTCTTTTAGGAAATGCGTCAATGCTGGTCACTCTTTTCGTGTGATTCATGAATCAATCCAGATTTTGCATTATCTGTTTTTTTTTAAATAACACCTTGAAAAATCATTCAGCTTGGATATGTTAGTGAGATCGTTGGGTAATAAATGTATTTACAGGAAGCCCGGCTTTAATGTGATACCGTTTGTCCACGGCTATTTTCATACCATTAACTGAATGATAACATTAAAATTTGGACAGCATACCTCGTTAGAAGAGATCATGCCACATTAAAATTTAAAATTAGAGGAAAAAAAACAGACCTTAGTTTGACTTGGAGACTTGGATTATTTTCAGATAAAAACGCTGTTGCCATTCAGAAAAATGTAAAATATTTATCTTTCAATTTTAATTCATAAACTTGGCCCTATGAAAGCAATGTGTTGCTGCGATCAGAAATAAAATACTTTTATCTTCCATGCGCCAGCGTGTTACCTTTCATTTACCTTACCACTTGGATACTTTCAAATCTAATCTGGAAAGTTACTGAAAAATAAGCTAAGCGATTCAAAGCAATGAACCAGTTCTTAAAAATACTTTTTTTTTTCTACTTTTTAATATGATTGATTTAATTACACATCTACTGAAATCATGAGACGTCTAATTAGGATAATTGAATATTCTTATGAAATTACACTGCCTGGACTTTAGAATGCAATTTAACGGTGTTTAAGCGTGACATCTGTACGTAAGGACAAAATAAAAGACTTTTTTCAAAAAAATTATAAAACTCTTTAAAATGAATTCTGAAGAGAATTTTTCGTGGTGTCTGTGCGTACGTACGTATGTATCTAGCATAACTCAAAAATTAGAAGCTCAGAATGTTGAAATTTTGCATATAACTGCTATAACATGTAGATGTAAACCTCGTATTTTGGTTGCAATATATATATATATATATCTACTCTGTTACTCGGCTCAGTGAGCACAGTTTCTTTACTCTTATATTGCTTTAAAAATGATTGAATTATGTTGTTCTTATCTTCCGATTAAATTTTTATGCCTTTAGGAAATCGGCAAGCAATATTTGTACAATTATCAACAATTAAAAAGCTGTTTAAGTGTGGTTAAGCCTAATTTTTAAATAACATGGCGGATATATTTGTTTACATTTGAAACAGCAGAATAGTAGATTTGTTGCCAAACAAGAGAGACTAAGCTTTGCATCAACAAAGATAACGCCTTCATTTATTATTGCGAATTAAATGATACTTAATTCTTTCTGGAATTTTTTGTAGGAAATAAGTGTTTAAGATTTACTTCGTAATTTTTAATATAGATATTTTGAGTTTTTATTGTTTTTTGCCTTGTCGCGAGGTGAGAACTGGATTAATTGAATGAGAAATACTGAACTGTCCGTGAAAAACTGTTTCTTATTTGTTTTGTTTACTTAATTTCTTTTATTACTTAATTCGTTACTTAATTTCTTAGATTAGAAGATTTATTATAGTATTTGAAGAGAACATGTGGCAACGATTAGATAATTCTTCAAAAGATATAAATTTTGTGCATTCTGAGTTATAAAATGAATGAAATATAATGCTGTTAAGTGAACCTAGCGCCAGAATGTTGCTATGGTAAACAAATATAGTGAATTTTAAAGTGTGCATTTGTTCTATTGTGGTTTATGCGCTATCGACAAAGTAGATTTAATTCAATTCAATAAGTTTAAATGAAATGCAAGAAAAAATGCGTATAATTTAATATTTCGTGCAAGGAAGTCATGTGGTGTACGCATCAGATTTTTTATGATAAATATTTTAGGCGGCTGGCCGTGCGAGGGGATAGCATCTAAAGAAATAATATAGCGAATATAAAAATATGTATGACAACATCAAACATTCTATTAAAATTCTAAAGAAAGGCTGTATTTAAATATTTCATGGTTTTGCTGTTGAGTTGCATTTTATGTGGCGTAAGTGCGAAGACGTTATATTTAATAAATAATGTTAACACATTATTTATTAAATATAACATAAAAAGTTAATATAAAAAAATAAAAAGAAAAAAAAATTACCGATCATTTTACAAAGAAAAGGGAATATTAATTTGATTAACTGAGAAAAACTGAAAAAAGTGTAAAATGTATGACAACACTTAATACTACATCTGAGATTCTAAATATATGTTTCTATGCTGTTTTTTAAATTTTGTGGTTTTATTGTTGAAATGTATTTGGCGTAAGCGTGAAGAAAATGATGCTTAATAATAAAGGCTTGGTGGAGGGTGAAGGTTAGCAGGATTGAATAAAAGACCAGGCTGGTAGCTGCGAGCTCAAAGGAGAGTGTAAAAATTCTTAACAAACTCTTTTGAGCAACCGTTAAAATCTAAAACCTGTCACATTTATTTATTTATTTTTTTTTTCAAGGATGCCGCACAGTGCAAACACAGCGAGTTCTAAATTATGTTACTCTGCTGCACCAGCCTCTTCCCCCCTTTGTGTGTGTGTGTGTGTTAGAATGTTTAATTTTAAATAATAGACTGAAATCGGAATCGAACTGTCTTACTAGACAATATTTTTTAGGCACTTAGCAATTTTTATATCCATTTGGCCTTATTTAGCGATTTTATTCAGTTTAATAAATTATTCTATAATATTTGATCGTATTAACTGAATTTTTTATCACAATGAGCGAAATATTTTTCACTTTTACGCATACAAACGGATGAGAGTCGGCAATTGGAGAACAATATGCGAATCCTAATGTTAACCGTGATCATCATATTAGGCGGCATCTATAGTATGAATTTTTTTTTTAATATCGCTTCTCGAGAAGCCGCGATACACTGAGTGGCTACATGACCACTTAAAGTCACTTCTCGAGAACAAGAGATTAATTTTGAGGCAAATAGTTTTGAGATAAGGTACTGCTAAAAAATGGCATTTTCTTACCAATACGTTGAAAGCTCTGAATAACTTATTCAGAGCTTTCAACAGATTCAAGTGACATGACGTTTCGGTTATCATGAGATTATTGGTTATAATCAAAACTAAATCTTTCTGATCGTTTTCCCTCATCCAAATAAGCTGAATGATTTTAGATTGTCAAATAAATCTTTTAACTTATCTGATACGATTGACATCTCACAAAGTTATTAAAGCAGATCCATTCTAAAACTAGTTTACTCTTCTTTTTGCCCAACTTTCATTAGAGTCAAGGAACAAAGGGGACTGGGAGGCGAACTACTACGGTTACTAGTATCTGCTTTCAAGAGCTGCTTAATTAAAAAAATTTCGTTGTTGTATAGGCAAAATAATTTCAATCTGCAAACTTCAGATTACGTTCTAATTTCTTAAAATATTCTGATAATAGACACCTATTCATTGTACTGCTTATTAAATTATACACATTTTTTTGCTGCACTTCGTTTAAACTTATTTCTTCGAATTATTCTAACCTAATTAACCAGACCCTCAAGGTAAATTGAAAATGACTTTAAAAAGTACAAATTTTGAAATTTAATATCTCGTTCTACTTTTGTCGTACGGGAATCAAAATTTTGTATTTTTATTTTTTCATAATGAGTATAAAACTTTTTCAGATATAAACATTGAAATCGAGAGATCGTAATAAAAGTTAGATTTCGTGATTTGTGCAAAATATTTTTTTTTTTAAATTTGACATTCCATAGCATTGACATTTTCGTCAGGTACACACGTCACGAAAAAAAATCCCTTTCAAATTCATTTTGGAAAAAAAAAAAATTCCTGTGTTTTATCTGTACGTGCAGACGTGATGGAAAAAAAAAAAAAAAAAAAAAAAAAAAAAAAAAAAACATCCAAATGGATTCGGGAACGGTAAAAATGAATATTACCGGTGAAATATAGCACCCGAAATTTTTTGAGATTACAATACTTCTTTTACTTCGTACATTGAAGTAAAAGTCCGAAGTTATTCAGATTTAAATGTTCGCCTAAAAGAGCTTTTTTTAAAGTTTACATAGGATTTACCAGCAGAGATTATCAATCAAGATGACCCAGGTGTGACAGCGAAATGCTTTAGAGGATACTAGACAAACATACACAAATAAAGATGAGGACATTTTATATCTTCTGTCTATTTGAAAAGTGAAAAAATATAGGTCGTAACTCTATAAAAATATTGAATGGTTTTGATAAGCTTTTAGAGCTCGACGATTCGCTCTTTAACTGATTCAAAAACCGATTCACTGTATTGAGCGAATAAACAATTGCTTCCAGATAACGGAGTAGTTCCATTAACCATCTCTTTACAGTTCACTTTAAAAAGTGATACTTTAATCAAAAGTATAGGCAACACGTCACACTTCGAAAACACCACTGCCTCCCTCGAAAGCACGATTTATGAAAGTATTGGACATACACCTTTTCATCATATTCCTATGAAATCCCGCGAAGTTTCACCAGTGGGACTAGTGTGGCTCTGGTCTCGAACTTCGTCAGCACAAATCCACCACGATGGATGGACTTTAAAAAGTAATGGAAATCAATACCAATGAAAATTTTATGGAAATCCTTACTATCATGGAAATCACGATGCTAACTTACAGTCGAGGAAAAAGATCGTACATTTAAATAAAATCAGATCGAACATTTAAATAAAAACACTCTTTGCATTTTAAACATTAATTAAATGGCCCAAAATTGTTCTAAAAATGTGTAAACACCGTTTGTATATGAAAATGTTACGTCCAGTATTGCATACTATATTTCAATTATTATGGTAGGAATTTATTGCAATCGTAATTAACGCTCCTTTTCATTTTAATATTGAATGAAGTAACATATATAATAGTTAATTCGAATCTTTTAGGATAAGTACAGAAATTGCTCACTTGTTTCAGCTGGGCAGTCAGCCTATGATTTTGTTCCGTAAGCTCTTGCAGTAACTGCGCTTTTTCTTTTTCGGTGTTCCTCTGCAAGGCGTTCTGCTCTTCAAGCTCTTTCCGCAATTCCTCGATGTCGCTCTGCAGTTCTGCAATCCGACTGTCATAGTCGCCCACCAGGGAGTCCAGTTTCCTTCTCAGAGCATGCTTCTCCTGCTCCAGGATCTGAAACAGAAATAAGAACAAATTTATTATTAAACCCTGCTCGAAAAGCAGTTTCATGATTAACAGCAACATAGTTCCACTAAAATTAATAAATAACCTTATTGTCATCTTCGGCTTGTTAAGTATTTATTTATTTTAATATAAGCATGTTAATTTTAAGTAAATACAAACGGTATGTTATTAATACAATTTGTGAATGGCAACAATATTTAATTTCAGTTCACTACTGTTCTAAAAAGAATATTCGAAATTCATGTATTAGAATGCTGGATTCTCTTAACTTACTTGGAGGAATTATGTGCTGTAAATAAAAACATATTCGAGTACTTTTAATGTGTAATGTTTCTTTATTAAAGCTTTTTGTGAAGTCTGAAGCTCAAAGGTAGATAGATTAGTAACAGAAAATTCGTTGAATTTTGAATTGCATCTTTTACTTAATAGCGGCACGAAATTTGCGAACTTTTTAAAATTCTGTTAGTGCAAGACTTTTCCGCGAATTTATGCTTGGCTATTTTAAATTTTTAATTGATTCGATAGATTTTTTAGACAACGTAAGAAAAAAGGAGAAAAATAGGAAAAAGAAAAGGAAAAAACGAAAATCTAAAAGGAATTTTCGTTGAAAGGAGTTTTTAACTTCGCACCAGAGGGAATATAAATAATATTCATCAGAAGAGATTACCAACGGAGACGGGCCAGGTGGAAGAGCGAAACATTTTATGATGTCAATGGTACTACAAGATGTTGCAGATGAACAGATACTTAAATTAACATAGGAACGCTCTGTATCTTCTGCGTATTTGGAGGTGGGGGGATTATAGAACGAAATTTTGTAAAAATGTTTAATGAATTAATTGCATTTTTATTTTAATTTACCCGATTCAAAAGTAAAGAAACAATATTCTTACGAACTGCAGCTGTTTCTTTTCAGTAGCTTAGTTTGTTAATGCGTAACAGATTCAATTTTTTAAAATAAATATCTTACATTTTTTCGAATCGCAACAGACTCGAAGGAGAAATGAATCAGCGTATCGATAGTGGACGACACTAAAAGTGAAACAACGCAAAATCTTGTTTGGAGACTAATAGTTCTCTTGGGGTAATAAATGTGCAGGGAATTTAAATTGTCAGCCCTTACTATACCTACTCCTTTCTGTATTCTTTACCAGAATGCAAATGAGTAGCAAGTATTTAAATTGAGGTTTTGGTTTTGAGACAGAGCGTTATTCCGGCTTTGCGTGAGCCTTATGTTGTTAGTTTCCTGCCAGCTCTAATAGCTGTAATTCAACTTTGCGTCCTCTCGCTGCCGACATTTTAATTCTGGTGCTCCGGTAGAGTTAGTGAGCCCGTTTCTAGTAGTTTTTAACTGTATAGTCCTTGACAAATGTTCAATATTTGATTTAATTTGAAACTGTTCTATTTTCTAATGCATCACCGCGAATTGTGGATAAGAAATTGCCCTTATGTTCTAAATTTTGTTTGAATGAAAAGGTTATTTTAACTTTCTCACGGCTTTATTCATTGCTCTCAAACATAGCGATAATTAACGATAATTTCGCTTTACGTCTTGTTAGGGCTATAAGGTGTTTTCTCCCTCTTTTCCGCATGCCTTCGCGGTTTAACTAGAAGTACGCTCGACGCATATTCGGGAGGTCCGGAGCTCGAATCCTGGCGAGGACACTGCACATTATTCACATTCCTGCATCGATATAACATAATAATTCTACAGGATTATTAGATTAAAATAACATTACCAGATGAAATGCAACCCTTTAAATGGTTAAAATAAAAGACACATCTAAAAAAGCAGATTTTTACAATATGTCATCTTGGGTTAAACACAGAAAAACAAAGCACTGATCATTTTCAGTTTTTCACACGAGCCGACAAGATCCCGAAGTTCCAAAAATAAAGACTAGAAAGAAGCCTGTGACGTGATGCTATCACTAGTCAGGCTTCGCAGCAGATGTTACTTTTGACGCGAATCGATTCCGGTTTTATATTTGGATAATCTCATTAGGTTATTAAGATGAGATGCTGATTCTAAGATCTACCTTCGGGGAGCGGAGAACAAGTCGAAATGAAACACATTTTATCATATCATTTAGAGAGCGATTTAAGCAGAATAGTAAAGTAGATTTGTTTTGGCAACATTAAATTTCATTTATATTTATCGAAAATGACGAAGAAGGAATATCTCAGAAAAAATGCAATCTTATAGGGGGAATGAACATGCTATACACAATATAATGTTGAATATTTGAAACATTACTCGCTTATTGTAAAAAGTAAAAAATATATACTAATTATGTTAACGAATCCAACATGTGTAATTTTATGAAATTATTTGATGTTTATAATCAAGGATATCATGAATTCAGTGCAATCATTAAGATTAAAAAGTGGAAAAACAACACTAAGGAGTACGTTTATTGTTTCTAAATCCTCAGTTTATTAATTAACAGCGTACAGATTTATTTCTGGCAGTGACAACGTATTACTTTTAAACAGCCAAATTTGTTGATTAAATTTGAAAAATAAATATCTTGCAGTTTTCAAAAAGGCAACGCATTGGTGCACCAAAGATAAAAACCAAAGCGAAAACGTCGATTTGCATTTCGCTGAGTTTGATGAGAAAATAAAGGCTTGGTGAGGACTTATGTGGACATGGTGTGTATATATTATCGGAACTTCTACCATCTTGATTATAGCAAATGTTAAAAAGGCTTTGAAAGCGCTTAAATGTGTTCCACTAATGAACAGAAAAGCATTATTTCATTATAGTTATATTCAAGAAAATTTATCTGCCACGTAATACCGCGCGTTGCTATTTTAGTTACACCAGTAGCAACAGAAATAAAAATAATCAATAATTATTTCATGTTTAGTTTTTTTAATCCTCGTGGTATATAAAAAATCTTTTGAATCTTGATTTTGATTTGAGAAACTCTAAAAGAGGGGGATTTCCCGATTGGTCTTTCCTGTTTCATCCTTTGGTCAAAATCGTGCCTATTCATTCTACTGCTAACACCTATCTTTTTCATCAGTAACCTTAGCTGACGAAAAGCTGAATCTTGATTGATCCAGTTTTTTCAAAATGTTGATGAAACCTGAATTAATTGAAACCAAAGTGGCTATCTAGTGCTAAAATTCAAAGGAAAATCATAAACATTAAAAAGAAATTAAAAAAAAAAAAGAAAAGAAAAAGAAAGAAAGTGTGAAAAGATTCAGATTTTAACGTCAAACCAGAGAATTTAGTAAAGCATTTTATGCCCTCACGCTGAAACCGCAGTCACCAATTTTGCTCTTGGACTCACTCCTGCCAACACAATATTTTCTTTTTTTAATTTTTTTAAGTATCGCTTTCTTCGCACTTATGCCACATAGAATTAAAAGGCAAAATCGTAAAATATTTTAAAACTCGAGTGGCCTCTTGAGTGGCCAATTGCCATAAAAAAGAAAAATATATTTATGATTTTAATGATCTCAGCTAGTGTCATTTCATAAAAAATATATAATATTTCTAATTAGACAGCTCTTGATTGAAATCGATCAGATTAAAAAGTTATTTTTAATACCTGCATTTATTGCTTTCAATCACTTCGTTTGCTACTCGTAACAGAAAGAAAGAATATGAAAGCTAAATAGCTTACGCTTTACTGAATGGCAACAGGCTGGTGCGTTCTGTTATCTCGTACGTTTCTGTACATTCTATTTGAGGCAGTGGCGACACATTACTTTCAATTATCCGAATTTGTTGTTTAAAATAAAGGAATAATATCTTACATTTTGCCGAATGCCCACAATCTGGCTCACTGGTGATTAAAATATTTTATTTTGAACAGTGTTGTCACTTCTCGCTTTCAAATCGCTGAGTTTGTTAAACGAAAATTCTTTAAATTTGCATAAAATATAAAACAAATCGAAAAGAAATTTGAAATTCAAAATTCGGATTTCAAGGTGCCTATGTACAGGGAAGGACTAAGTATATTAAATTCGGTGGCTCTAGGTGACGTCATTTTTCCACAATCCTAAGGACATATTTGATTGACACCAGTAAGAAAACCAATATTGATCAATATATACCAGTATAAAACACAGAGTTCTATTGACATTTCTGTTGGTTGTATGTGTATAGATATAAGCTATTGGGTACTAACAAAGAAACACCAATAGTGATCAATGGAAAATCAATAAAAGCTAGTAGAAATCTATATGAATGCAAGCAAAACGTTTTACTAGTTTCCATGGACCACTTTTAGCATGCCTGAAGCTTTCAGATAACTTAAAATTAAAGAATATATATATATATAACAATATCGATCATTCATAACTATATTCAAATCTACTTATTTTGAACATATTTAAAATTCATTACTCTACTACTCTACTTCGAAAAAATTATTTAAAGGAAATACTTCAAAAACATAAACAATCCATGCTAAGCCAGATGGAAGCAGTCATCTCGTTTGAACTGTTTTAATTGTTGAAATCTTCGTTGCCAGAAAGTGACTTTCCGAAGAGATGATGAAGGAGAGGACGATTCAGCACTGTTTTGAGCTGAGGAAGCCCGCGTACGATGGTCGGGCCAAACCTAACTTTCACGGGCACAGCCATCGTACGGTGATCGGGCCAGAAGTGAATATTACGTGGAATATTTGATACGCAATTACAGTCTGATACAATAATTGTGGTAGACGCAAGTATTACAAAATGTTTATTTATACAAAACTCCAAAATACAAAATTAGTAATCTGTAACGGTATGATATATTTCAAAGCATTCTGGTACATGTAACGGAACTTTACACTTTTTACACTCGTGCTCTATGTGGATTTTCTCGTACTTGATCTGCATACTGATTCGTTTCGGTTACAATATTGTTCCAAATATGTGTATATCAAATTCTCCTCTACTTCCTCCTAATTAACATAAGGCTTCCTCTCTTATGCCAGAAGTCATCGTATAGTCCCAGATTTTTGGACTATTTCTTTATTTCTTTC